TGCAGAAATATTGTTGCTGACTTGCATGAGTATGCATTTTAGTCTCATTCCCTTACAATTGTCCCAGATTAGCTTCTGTCCTGTGCCTCCACTGCAGGCCAATATAGCATTAGTCTGCTCTGAGTTCTTGTCCTAAGACACCCCATTAGGCCTAGCTGATCCTCATAGATACATGCATTCCTGAGGATACCTTCCTTAGTCTTTGCTCCCACAATAACCCACCCCCTTGATTCTTAGTGGGTTCTACTTAGGAGAAATTCTCTTAGACACAGGAGCTTGCTGGAAGGCACAGAGACACTAATGGACACTAATGGTGCAGGAAAAGAGCCTGTACTCCTGCTGGAAGAGCCCTTCCTGCCCAGAGGCGGTTCTCCCTCCCTCAGAGTCAGTCCCAAGCCGAGGGGAGATGCATTTGCACAGAGTTTGGGTGAACACCAGCCTAATTCTGTAGAAGTACACCTTACATGAAATAGTGTCCTCTAGATTTAATATATTTTTTACCTCCTTAAAAAAGACTTATTAGGGAGCTAAAATTCACTATGACTCAAATAACTCGAAGCTGGTAAATGGAAATTATATTCCACTGTAATTCTTCAATCTGTTGATATTTAATTTCCCCATACAAAGCTGTTTATGCACAGCTTTATTGCTTTTTACAATCTTTTTCAGGCTGAGCAGTCCTCAGTTTTGTCATTAAAAACATTCTATAATGCAGATGACTACTTTTTTCAGTCTGGTATCCTTTTTGAAAATAAGCAATTAAACCCCCAAGCTATTAAAAGCATCACTCAACCGTAGTTTTATACAGTAACATTAAGTTGCCAGTTTTGTCCTTCATTCCTTTCCTAACGCAGTTTAGTTTTTTATGCCAGCAAGTGTGGGGCTGATGTTTTCACTGAGCTATCGTAGCCCAGGATGAGCTCCTGAAAGGCAAGTCAGCTTGGCATTCATCATTACGTGGGCAAAATTAAGACAGATTTTTTTCCCCTACACTGAATTGTTTGCCATTTTATTGTCTAATCTTGCTGTCTGTCTGCAACCCTTCAGATTTCGCTCCTCATTTTTTCATATCTAGTTTATTCAAAATATTCAATACTTGAAATTTTTCAGCTGCAATACTAGAAAGTTATTTGCTCTGACAACTGACAAGCTAAAAAACTTTGAGTGAAACTGGGAGAGATGTCCAAGACACTGAGAGCTTTATGCATTCAGGTAGAAGTTCTAAAGTTAGAAAAATACCATACCTGAATTTTAATAAGGGCAGGATGAATTTTTAAAGCTCGTATCATTTCAAGAATACCATAGCCATTTCAGCATTCCTTGAGGAAAGGGGTGAGCTGTCAGGTTCTGTGCAAAGTAAAGAAAATTCTTCCAGCTACAAGACATTCATTCTCCAGCGCACAGATGGAGACTGGGTTCCTTCAGCTACAAACCAACATTAAGACAGTGTGGTGCTGCTCTCAGTCTTTTTGTCACCTTCCCATAGCTACACAGGCAAGTATGAAAAGCACTGAACCATACAAATGAAACTAGTCACGCATATATGAAGGAAGGTACAGAACAAGAGTCATAAGATTGGCCCTGAGACCAGCAGTCACAAAAGCCCTACACAAAAGGCTAAAAAAACTCCAGCCTTTTGTCACTAGGTAAATGTTTACAAGGGCTGCCAAGGCATTAGATACGGGAGAAAACATTTGCAAGTGGAATGGGTTCAAGTTAAAATTTTAATGCAGAGTTATACCAAATACTTACAGTAACAGTGAAAACCTCCACATCACCAGCAGCACGTGACAAAGGTGACAGAGGATGAGGGACCATCTTCCAGATCTCACAACCTAAACTGCACTAAGAGCAGTCCTCAGGCAAGCGATACAGTGCAAGATTCATTATTTACAGCTGCTGTAGGAATAAGCACATCACAGGTTAGTCAGCACGACTGAAGGACAAATGTTTTGAACCTTCGTGTACTTTCCATGTGCCAAGATTTGCCCCAGAGGAGGGAGCAGAGGAAGCAAACATTTGAGACTGCTATGAAAACCCAGCCCACTTGCTGCCCAAGAGGGAAAAAAACCAAAGCCCACCCCCTTTCACACTTGAGAATAAGAGCATACACTCTTCCTCTTTTTTACTTATCTGACAAAATAATTAAGAAAAAACCATTTTGTTTCTATATCCATTTATTATTCCAGTTTGTAAAAATATAAGACTAATATACACTACAGCTAGCTTGATTTTGTAAAATCAATCTTCATTCAGTGAGATACCAATGTACATTATACATTAAAGTTGTAAGAAAAATACTGATATTTGACATTTTAAACAAGTTCATTCATGTAAAAATCACATTGCAAGTAAAATTTAATTAGAAAATACATAATATTCACAAAAATACACATATGTTAAAGACAGCTTGTGAGAACATTGTCCTAAATTTAATTCAGTTGTGGAAAAAAACATATGATTCACAGTTAGGCTTGACTTATCCAGTACCATAACAGAACTTCAAAGTAAATGCATCTTAATTCTATTAAGAATTTGTTCTTTTTTTTCCCCTATTAAGGTGCACTTAAATCTCCCAGTTGCAAGTAAGGAATGACTTGTCCCCCCACTGTGCATGTACACAACATTTAACACTAGTCAAAGGAATTTCAGTTTTCCATTCCATTTTGAAATAATTTGGATATTTATAAATTAATTTATAAAATCTGGGTTGAAAATACAATTTACACACACAGGATACTTAATACACAAAGATTACATTAATAGCAGCGTAATATTGTCAATCATGCGTAGCATCCTCACTATCACTTTTGGATTTTTTCTTTTTTTAGCTAAAGATAAAATCTATATAAAACAGTCAAGCCTTTAAGTATTTTCTTCCAAGGAGAAAACCGCAAAGATGTTAAAAATTTAGGAGGTAGTGAATGAAAGGCTAACAATACCAGCATATTTTAAAAAATCTTATACTGAACCCCAGTACCATTTATATATAAAAGTTTAGCCACTCATAATCAACTGTTGATCATCCTGAAGTAACAATTTAAAAATATTTTATAATTAACAGTGTATGCATTAGTAAGATATGGAAGAACTTTAGAAACTTTTTGGTAACTGCAGCGTTAAGCAATTACATGCTGTGCAGTCTGTCATTGTAACTGTAAAATACACACTTTAAAATCCATTTTTAGATTTAGTCTTCAATATTTTTAATATTTTTATCAAATCCCAAATGTTTAGTTTTGCTATGTTATCAAATTTCTGTAAAACAAAACATGACGTGTTAAAATGAATATTGTGTCACATTTAGACTAATCACTTTGCAGGAAAGGTCCCAAGAGATGTATTCTCATGCAATTTAGAGTAGGACCCTAGTTAAATTTCTACAAGTCCTTAATACTGGCATATATAGTCAAACTAGTCATGCAGCTGTGACAAGTACAGAGTAGGTAACACAGAGTTTGGCAGCACTAACCTTGGGTGTTTGTCCCTAAGCAATAAGTTACCTTGCAACACCAGCACTCTCAGACTCAACCTTCCTGTATGAGTTAATAGCTCAAAGCCATTAGCCAAGCTGCAAAATACTAATGTACCACATTAGACCCAGAAGGGATTTGCGCTGAATGAAAACATTCCACCTATATTAAGTGCACTACCAGTTCATTTTCTGTGGACCTCATCTCTCTTCTCATCCGAGTGCCTTCATTCCTTTGATTATTCACAATACATTCAAGTAAACAAAAGGCACAGAAGTGCAAACTAGCATAATAAATGAAAGTCACCCTCCACTGATGATTTCATACAGGAAGGAAAGTCTTTTGATACAGGAAAAAAAAAAAGACATTTTAAAGTAAACAATCTTCCTTAAATAAAGGAAGTGTAGAGCAGCACTGAGAGAAAACATGTCTATTTAAAATCTACATGTTGCAGATTGAACATTTATTTTCCTCATTTCATACTAAGTGGATGTAGTTATTTTTAATAATTATTAGCAAAAAAAAAAATAAAAAAATCAGGAAAACACTTCAAAATTCTTATGTTGGAAAAAGAATCCAGGGCCTCTCCATATGCATACTGAAGAAACCATAAATAAATCCAACAAAGCAGACCTCTAACCTGTATTTGCAAAGTGCCATTGTCTGTTATGCCAACTCTCCATAAATCAAAAAGGGCATGAATACAGCCTTTCTTGCCATCCAAGAGGCTTGAACTCCCATGATTTTGAAGGCTCGAGATATGTATTTAATGCTCATGAAATATGAATTAAAATAATGCTAATGAGAGCATATGCTCATAAATTTTATGCTCATGAGATATGAATTTAAGTTTTACATTTTGTAAAATTAAAAAGTCATAATTTCTGAAGCAATTTTGTGTACATCATTACAAAAATATTAAACAAATACAGTTTTAGCCTCTGATATCCTATACAGACTTTTACAGGTGCCTTAACATTAAACTTACAGTTAGTCTCATTAGTAAAGTTACCAGAGGTAGAAGTTTTCTCAAGATAGACTGAGGGAAAAGAAATGGGGTAGTTTCCTTTCCTACTTATCTCCCCACAGGGTAGGACATGCTTCCAAGAGCCTGATGTGCTCTGGCCAGCACAGTCCCACAGTACAGAACCGGTAGCATCCTATTTCCTTCTTAGAGATTGGCAGAGACTGGTGGATCCCTAGTGAGAAGCTCCATCCGCCCTTCTCCCCAACCCTGTTAGTCCCCATCTCATTTTCCTGCCACAATTTACATTTCCAGGGAAGGGTCAGGTTGGGAACTGAGGGCCAAAGTGGTAAAGCAGGATATACTAAAAGGGGAAAGGGAGGGGGAAAAAGCTAGAGGTCTCTCCCTGCAATTCTCCTAGTAAGTTTGCAGCTAATTACAGGCATACTTGTGCACTTGCAGTATCAGGACTTGTAATCAGTATTTTGTTTTACATATAGCAACTTTGTAATATTCAAAACACCCAGCCAGTGGTACACAAAGGTCAACATTTACAGTTTAAAACACCCAGCCAGTGGTACACAAAGGTCAGCATTTACAGTTCATTATAATGAATAATTTAATAACACATGGCTCAAACAGGTTCTATAAAACCTTGTTCTGATTTAAAACTTTTTTTTTTTTAATCCAGGGGTTTAATTCAAGCTGTTCTAACTTGCTTAGGTTTGAAGAACATCACTTTTTACATAAGTCAGACCCACTACAACAAACCTGTCCTAGTAGAAATCTTTACAACTTCTACTAGGATGGCAATTTTGACATAGATTATGTTATTTTGTTTCCATAGCATTTTTACATTCGATTTCTTTGACATTTACTGGGATTAGCAACGAAATCAAATTATATCCTTAAACATTGCAAACTAAAAATGAGAACAGGTCTTTGATACCTAAGCATTAAGACTTTCACATTTGAATTTCAAAATCATAGTCATTAAGAGTAAGCTTACCTGGCCATTAAAAACAGTAAAGGTGCATGACTAATGAGCCTGTGGTTGCACATTCACTTACAAAGGAATAGTCAACTTCAGAAGTCTCCACCTTCAAACCCTGATTGTTGTCCAGTTGCTGACCACTATCAACCAACTATCCCTGCTGCTCAACTAGACCAACCAAGAACATCTCTTCCCGCCCCACCTCCTGCTTATTTTTCAGTTTCCTCACCCGGAGCCACACAAACAGCTCTACCAGCTAAACATCAGTCCAGAACAGGAATGAAGTGGCTAAAGCAGCTCCATCACACATAAGCAGCACTTGAGATGAACATGAAACCACAGTACATTAGGTAGTCAACCTCACACAATAATGGAAGTTTACTTGTGTAGAACCAGTAGTATGCTGCATTTAAAAAAAAAAAAAAGTACTATTAAAAGAAAGTTCACAGCCATCTCTTGGCTATCCTTCATTTTCAATTTAAATTTTCTTCATCCAGTTTCAGTCATGTATCAACTAGCTTCCATCTTTGTGAAGTATTTACATTGAAGTGCAGAATTAACCGAAGTTAGTCAACTTACATAATTTTGAACTTCTTGTATTTACCTTTTTCCCTCCTTTTAATCTAACTGCAGTGCTCGGTAGATGGAGAGGTATAATATGTATTACACAGTAAGCCAAATTAAAACATATATGGCATCCTTACTTAATACAAAGTACACAATGTAATTTCATAGTGTTATTATCGTTCCATCTTCTTCTAATGGCTTATGCTCTGCATCTTGTACTTCATATTCCATGCTAACGCTGCCTGCTGAATGATTCAAGTTCATCTCACTGGAAGGAAGGAATCCGTTTTGTGTTGACTCATGAAGGAGTTCAATTTGTGTCAACGATTCTAGGCTTTCGCTGGTAGGTGCAGCTTTTGGAATCTGTTGTGGCTCACCACTATCTTCTATAATAATGTCCTCTTCATCGCTCTCCTCTTCTCCTTGCAAGAAATTTGCTAAAATATTTGGCGTGCTACTTGGAAGGCTGGATTCAGTAGACTGACCGGAGCTGCCAGAAGTCCGACTGTTCCTCACAACATTATTTCTCTGGTTTGCTGGTCTTACTGTAATGATCAGGTTACGGCTGTTTGCAATCATCATGTCTGTAACCTGATCAAGGCTTTTTCCTGAAACCTCTATTCCATTCACCTCCAGTACTTCATCATTGACAGCCAGTAAGCCTGTGCTTTGAGCCAGGCCTCCGGGGACAAGTCTAGATATGAAAATCCCTGGAACTTTCTCTAATCCATGTGGTGTTACTCTGACACTGGAGCCATCTCGTATATAGAATCCAAGGGGTTTGTCAGTTCCGTATTTGTAAAGTCGTACTCTGCGATGGGTTTCTGGAAGAATATCTACATCTATAATCGAAGACACTGGTCTGAAGTCTTGTGGCATGCTAATGACAATGTGCGGTTTCTTCTTGTGATTATCCGGACGTAACACATTGGATAAGACATTCTTCTTCCTTGTCATAGTATCCGTACCAAAGGCACTGTAGTCTGCATCTTCTGTAAGACATAGCACATTGATGATTAGATCACTTTATGCTGTCCGTATCACATTGCTATCGTGCTTTAGGTAAGCAGAATGAAACGCCTCAGCTAGAAGATTTCTGGCTTGCTACAGCAGAAACAATTCTCTCTACACATGAAACAAGAACTATAATATTATGAGATTCAAAGTTTGTAATACTTTTGGTTTCCTACTACCAAAGGAACGACAGTACACACAACAATTAAAGCAAGTTAGCAGCAGTAGAGACACAAAGAACCATATTCTAGCTTTGAGAGAAAGGTTAGAATGGAAAGAGTGAATACATTCCTAGAAACATTTTAATTTTATTCAGAGTAATTCCACTTGTTCGTTTTCTCTCCTCAGGTTTCAGATCATTGGAAAAGAAAGAATGAAAAAGGGAAAGCAGCCAGTGTGCCTATTATTGCCTAGTTCCTGGAAGCTCGCCAAGTGACCTGGATTCAAACTCCAGAAAGCTTATTCCATTCTGCACTCTCTTCCCCGCCCCCATGCAATGTAGGTAAAATGGCTGTGGAGCAAAAACAAAGAGATCTTGCACACAAATACTTGAAGCAAAACTGTTCCATACAAGCAATGCCGTAACTGCCACAATTTGATACAGAAGTATGCAAATGGCTTAGAATTCTAAATCATACAAATACTTCAAATGGGGAAAAAAAAAATACATTCTGCAGAAGCAATTCTGATGCCTGAAATGCCTATTTACCAAAGGAAGCTTCGATTTTTCTTTTTAATATGCCATAATCTTCCAAAGACAACAAACCAAAACATATTCAGATTCCAGTTTCCTTGGATTTACACTTGTATTTTTGCAATATTTTTCTGCAGTGGATTAAAAAAAAAAAGAAATCAAGCAGAACTGGTGTGCACTAACCCTGGGACTCAGAAGTTGGGATTTCTTTGTATTATCACATTAAGATGCCATTGGTACAGCCAAGAAAGTAGAAGAATTGCTATACATTTCAATTGGTGAATTGAAATAACTATGGAAATGCTATCCTAGTGTGAAATTTCAGGAGAGCTGTCAATTGCTGATGAAAAAAGGACACAGTGAGAGTTGGTAAATCAGATTTTTTTTTTCCAGGCTAAGATGAGGATATACAGACGTGTAGCAGTTATAGCTGGACTCTTCAGAGGCTTTAAGCAAAATAGAACAGAGAAAGTAGTTCCAAAGCAATAGCCTAACACTATTCTAACATATAGTAACAACTCCTCCCTTCCCCAGACATTACGGCTGCTGAAAACAAGAAGAGATTTTTAAGAAAGACTGGTCTACTAAGGCAGCCTTGGAATTAGTATTCTGAAAGATAAGTGACAACAGGAAAAGATACAAATTTAAATTAGCCCACCAAAACCCCAAAGGGATTTATTACAAACTCATACCTTGTGTGTACAAAATAGTAGTAAAAGAGTTCATCAACATGGGTTAAAAAAATGTGTCCTGACAATGGCCTCATTTACATTTCTTATTTTGTTTAAAAAAAACCCTCACACCTTAAATCTAGCAAAGCTGTTTGCTAAAGACAGAACATCGCTCTATTAAACTTCACAGATAAAGTTGTTCACCAATTTAATTGACACAAGCAGGAGTTATTTCTGAAGACAGCTACGTCTACATGGCCATACTACGCTCCTGAGTCGCTTCTGTGGCAGTTACTTCGGGAGGACACTGATGCCTCCCTAGAATATTATATCCATCTTGCACAGTTAATTTTTACCTCTAACATTTCTCAGATTTGGCCACCTTTTCACCCAGACTGGTGTTTCTGCAAGAGTTGCTGAATAAACAAAGACAGCACTGACACAAGTTGTTCTACATGTGTTAGTTCAGCAGACACCCCTCAGTGCTCTCACTTCATGGGAGAAAGTGCGTATTGGTAGCACCTTGGGGACTTCTCTCTCCCCACTTCACCCACTGAGAGCCCCTGCAAAATCTGGTTCCCTGCCTCCTTGTGATTCAGCAGGTAAAACTGAAGCTCAATCTAGGACTGGGCCTGCAAGAACAGTATGAAGTTTAACAAAGCCAAGTGCAAAGGCCTGCACCCAGGATGAGACAACCAACGAGCCCAGTACAGGCTGGGATCTGTGTGGCTGGGGAAGAGCCAGCTGAAAGGGGCCTGGGGGTCCTGGTGGAGAAGCTGAAGAAGATTCAGTGTTGTGCCTCTGTGATCCAGAGGCAAACTGGATCCTTGGGCTGCATCTGCAGGGGCATTGCTAGCAGACATAGAGGTGATCAGCTCACTACTCAGTGCTTGTCAGGCTACACCTGGAGTACCCTGTCCAATTCTGGCCTTCCAAATTCAAGATGTAGACAGACCAGAGAGGGTCCAGAAGGCAGCCACAAAGATAATCAAAAGGCTGGAGAACCTGCCCTTTGAGGAAAGACTGAAGGAGTTAGGTCTTTTCTTGCTGGAGAAGAAAAGGCTCCAGGGGAACCTCACCACAGCATTTCAGTACTTAAGGGGCAGCTGCTAACGGGACAAAGCCACATGGGGAAGATGGGGCAAGGGGCACAAGCTGCACTGGGAGAAGTTCCATCTCAACAGAAGTATTTTTTTTTTTCTTCCTGTGAGAACAATCAGTCACTAGAACAACCTCCACAGGGACACAGTGGAGTCCCCACCACTAGATGTTTTCAAAATGCAACTGGACAGGGTGCTACATAATCTCATCTAGGCTCCCTTTCCCACCGAAGGTTGGACCAGATGATCTTTCAAGGCCCCTTCCAACCTGTGCTGTTCTACGATTCTAAAAATTGTACATGGAGGAGTAGGAAGGTAGAAGCAAACAGAAGAATCTACACTAGCTCTGCTTGAGAACATTAATTCAGATGACTGTGAAAACAGGAAATAATTTTTAGTTTACTTGGGAATCTGAAAGCATGGAATTACTATTGTTCTTCAGTAAAACAGGTTAGGGAGAAAAATCAAAAAGTAATTTAGGGTTAAAATAAAATAACATTAGATCTCAACATCAAGGAAGGCAGCTTTAGAAATAGGCCTCTGAAGAACAGATTCTAGGCTAAGAGTGTTAAGTGAGTTGTGTTGAAGAGTGGGTTAATTAAAAAACAATCCAACCTCCCAAACTAAAGCATATTATAGGTGACTACGTCTGAAGTGTAAAGCACCTCCAAAAACGCAAACTTACCATTTTCTCTGTAGAAAAAAAACCCAAAACCCACACAAACCATTTGGGATATCTGACTGAAGATCAGCCATTAAAACTCCTGTACTCCATTGCTGAGAACTAACATGCTGATTTTTCAGACAACATGGAGCAATTCTTTTAAAGTTTACTTAAAATTTATGATCAAAGAAAAAACTGTGAGAAGTTTTGCCCTTATCTCTACTGACAACCCACCCAACCAGTTTCAAGTTAGACATCTGGTCCTTACATCGGGAGGATTTTTGCAATTCAATGAGTTGCAATAGCTCCTCTTTTATTTGGAAGTGCAATTGCTTACAAAACAATTTGGAAAGGGCAATTGTGAAATAAGATACTGTATTTGCTTTAAATGTCTTTTACTGCTAACAACAAACTAAGGATTGATAGTATAGGTAAAGATTTTAGATAAATGCTAGACAATGGTGACTTTAATATTTGAATTAAAAATGTTAATGAGTGCAAATGTTGCTTTTTAGGCCATGGATTTCCTCTTCCCCAGCAGCGGCCAATATGCATCTTAGTGATCTCAAAAACTACATAAATTTTTTTTGTACAGTGTACATCTAAGTAGTGTAGATTTCTGATACTTTAGAACTCTGGTTTTAAGGCTGCACAAGCAATGGTAAATTTGACAAAACCAGAGGAAAAATATTCCAAGAACTGGAGGAATTGGAACTCCAGGAACCTTGCACAGGCAAGACATGTCATTTTGCCTCATTTCAGAAGCTTCACTTCTAGCTTTGTAGTGGTGACACACTGCGAGGCACTTAACACCATATCGTAAGTTGGCCATGGACTGGATATACAACCATATACACATTTATTACATCCAAGGAGTTACTGCGTCCTGCAAACAATCACAGTAAGTTTGTGCTCTTTACCCAACAGTTAGATCTAGAACTACTCACATGGCTTTTCACAGCTTCCTTCCCCAACAAGAACAGTCTCCACAAAAACAATCACCCAACCTGCCTTCCCATAACTACCAGCTGATAAGGTTTAAAACTTCTGTCCAAATCAAATTTTTCACAGTTAGTTGGAAAACATGAATATCAGATGCAAAAAGAAATATCATGTAAGTGTATCTATATGTGAACTAACAGATTCCAAAGTGCTTTTAAAAAACTGAGATCAGAAAAACACATATTGGAAGAAACATGAACTTCAAAAGTCTCTTTCAGAAGACAAATAAACAATCAGAAATCTTAACATTGAGCTGGTGATTTTGCTTTTAGGAACAAACTTACTTAGATTACATGACACATTGTTGAAGTAAAATCATCCCAAAATTGCAAGCCAGATGTCAAAATATTTAAGAAATATAAAGCACCAGAGGGTAGTTGTTTTGCACTGTAACTAGTCTTAGCATTCTAAAAATTCAAAATTAGCACAAACCTTAAAATGTACAGTTACATAATTTACGGGAAAAAGAAATAGTGAAGAGTTGATGAAAACTCATCTCTCCAAATCTCAGCCAAGCAGCGTGACTCTGTTTAACCTCTCTTGCACTGCTAAACAAATTTTCTAAAGCAATATTCTCGAGTACAAAAGCATCTTTGTTCTGGCACCCAGCTAATCAGTTTAAAGCTGCAGCGGAAAATATTTTGGCATCAAGCCAAAGGACAAGGCGTTAACTACAGATAGCGTTAAGGAGAACTTCCACATGGTACAGGAATGATTTCTCTCCCAGCAGTTTCAAGCTCAAGGTGGCACCAATCTGTGTATACTTATTACATGAAATTTAAAATGAAAGCCCACAAATGCCAAATCTGGTTTTAATTCAACATTGTTCAATACAGATATTTAAAATGTTTTCTTGATCTATTTGCTAAGTAGTTACCCCTCAAGAATTAAATTTTCAAAACCCCCAAATTCTTTTAGTGCACTTGAATACAGATGCAATTTAGCATTTTTTAAATAGGCCCCAACAAATCCTGTTTCTTATTGAATCGTAAGTTACAACAAAACATACAAAACACGATTTTAGGAAACTAACCTATGTTTTTAGGAAGAGGACTCAGAATAGCTAGGAGAGCTGTTTAAAAAGCCAACCCCTTTTACTTTTCACTGAAATTAAGCTTCTCAGTGAAAAAGTCTCTCTCAAGAGGCACAAATGAATTAACCAAAAATCCACTTTTTAGTATATACAGGCATGTAAATGCAGATCTTGCATGAGTTGTATACTGTAATTTAATATCCTGCAAATGAGTTTTAAGGACATAATAATGAAATATATCTTTTGTTATCATCTCTATTTTTCTTGTATTTACAATCAAAAGTCCCCCACGTTGAACTGCCCTTCAGGGCCTGTGCAGACTCCATCCCCCCCACCATTTTATCTTCAGAAAGATTTTTCTCACAGACAGAGCGACTCCCATACATCTGGACTCAATCACGATACATCAGTTTAACCTTTACATTCCAGATGTCAACAGTACCTGTTAATCTGTTAAACTGCAGAATGAAATACCAATAAGCAACTGTTTTCCTGCAAACTGATGGCCATTCTTGACTTGTGTAATATCAAGCTCCAGTTTAGATTTAGTACTGGAGCAGTTTAAAATATTTTATAAAGTCATTTAGTTAAATACAGTTAGAAGTGTCTAAGGGGAATAATGTGATTGGATTTCATTTCATTACAGGATCTCTAGGTTTCTTACCCCATTAAACAAGACACATAAGTGGTTAGGACAGAGAACTTCCTAGCTTTCATGAATTAGGAGTCAAAATTGAACAGAAAAGAGTGCTTATTCTGGCATAATAAAATTTCTGAAATTTCAGGGTCTCATTATCCAATTGTCACTTATTAATAACATTGCAAAAGCATCTTGTAGCCTCCATTTCAACCCTTTCAGGTGTCCTTGAATGCAATATACTAAGTTAATACTATTTCCCCTAGATTTTATTGTAGTCTGCTCATACCTTACATTAGCTTTCCACAAATTGCATGGTGCTTCTCGATAGGTAAGACAGTATAATAAAATTTCCTGTCTTTAAGATAGAAAAAACTTTCTCTTTTCCCCACAGTGGCTTTTTGCCCAAGATCCTAAAATCCCAACTATTAAATCTGGAAATACACACACAAAAAAGCAAAGTTCCATTAGGAAAAAAAGCCACAAGAAGTTTTGCAGGTAGAAAAGTACCTTGTGTCGCTGATCATTTATAGTTCCAAAACAGCACAGCTCAAAGCTGCCCCATCAATAGCAGCTTTTTGTTCAGACATCTGATTTTCAGAGGTACATCCAATACAGATATGTGCAATTGGATTAATCGCACCTAAACAAGTTATGCTGTACAAATTACGACATCTCTAACTCCTACAATTCAGCTTTACTTACAGGCAAATTAGGACAAATAAAATACAGAATCAAGTTATTTCCTTATCTTCCATCAAGCCTACCTCTGTTCTATAACAGCAAAGATGCTAACGTAACCAAAGCCTCAATTTAATCAACACAAATTATCAAAATGGTCACAATAAATTCAGAACAAAGTACAGTGCTGGAAGTGCTAAGTCAGATCTGGTTTCTTTATTCCCTAAAGCCCTATAGCCAGAAGAGTCTCAAGGGGAAGGTGATGACAACTGATACTTTCTACATAGCTTTTCCTGCTAATAAATTCTTGGCACGATAAACTTAAGTGGGTTAATCTTATTTCTAGTTCTCTGCATTATATCAATTCCTCACACCGGGAAAACAAGAAATAATCCATCTTGCTTTAAAGGTTCAATGAAGGTATAAGGTGTTACAAATGTAACATTAGTAACATTTACTACATAAAACATAAGACCAGTAACAATCTAAAAACATATGGTGTTAAAATATAAACTCAATAATCCCAGTCTGACAAAGTGGCTTATCTGTTCTCGTCATATGGCTACTGTAGGAGATTAAATGGAATCATAGACCTTTTCTACCTCTAGCTTCTATTAAAGCAAATAGCTCATTCCTTTGGCAGTTCAGGACTGAAAACAGGCCTTACTAGACTGTACTATCCTCAATACAAACAAAACAAACACATTTTGCCAGCAATGCAGCAGCTGGCAGACAGCCACACTGCTTTTGAATATTGTTTTTGTGTCAGGCTGTTGTGGAGCTTATTCATTTTTTGGAGTGGGAAAGTTGATAAAAGCTTCCGATGTCCAAGTACTTTCCAAGGAAAAAAAGCCTGTCTTAATAACAACCAGGAACAGTGCACATCTTTATAAAACAGCTAAGTGAGAAGCTGTCTGCTCTTCAAAGATCCGCCGACTGCCTTACTAGTACAGGAAACCCAAGATCCTAAAATCCCAACTATTAAATCTGGAAATACACACACAAAAAAGCAAAGTTCCATTAGGAAAAAAAGCCACAAGAAGTTTTGCAGGTAGAAAAGTACCTTGTGTCGCTGATCATTTATAGTTCCAAAACAGCACAGCTCAAAGCTGCCCCATCAATAGCAGCTTTTTGTTCAGACATCCGATTTTCAGAGGTACATCCAATACAGATATGTGCAATTGGATTAATCGCACCTAAACAAGTTATGCTGTACAAATTACGACATCTCTAACTCCTACAATTCAGCTTTACTTACAGGCAAATTAGGACAAATAAAATACAGAATCAAGTTATTTCCTTATCTTCCATCAAGCCTACCTCTGTTCTATAACAGCAAAGATGCTAACGCAACCAAAGCCTCAATTTAATCAACACAAATTATCAAAATGGTCACAATAAATTCAGAACAAAGTACAGTGCTGGAAGTGCTAAGTCAGATCTGGTTTCTTTATTCCCTAAAGCCCTATAGCCAGAAGAGTCTCAAGGGGAAGGTGATGACAACTGATACTTTCTACATAGCTTTTCCTGCTAATAAATTCTTGGCACGATAAACTTAAGTGGGTTAATCTTATTTCTAGTTCTCTGCATTATATCAATTCCTCACACTGGGAAAACAAGAAATAATCCATCTTGCTTTAAAGGTTCAATGAAGGTATAAGGTGTTACAAATGTAACATTAGTAACATTTACTACATAAAACATAAGACCAGTAACAATCTAAAAACATATGGTGTTAAAATATAAACTCAATAATCCCAGTCTGACAAAGTGGCTTATCTGTTCTCGTCATATGGCTACTGTAGGAGATTAAATGGAATCATAGACCTTTTCTACCTCTAGCTTCTATTAAAGCAAATAGCTCATTCCTTTGGCAGTTCAGGACTGAAAACAGGCCTTACTAGACTGTACTATCCTCAATACAAACAAAACAAACACATTTTGCCAGCAATGCAGCAGCTGGCAGACAGCCACACTGCTTTTGAATATTGTTTTTGTGTCAGGCTGTTGTGGAGCTTATTCATTTTTTGGAGTGGGAAAGTTGATAAAAGCTTCCGATGTCCAAGTACTTTCCAAGGAAAAAAAGCCTGTCTTAGTAACAACCAGGAACAGTGCACATCTTTATAAAACAGCTAAGTGAGAAGCTGTCTGCTCTTCAAAGATCCGCCGACTGCCTTACTAGTACAGGAAATGCACATGCATGTGTTCATATATATACACTCACATGCATGCACATGCATGCACACTCACACCTGTGTGCAAGTAAGCAGAAAACCAAAAAGAGCAGAAATCAGGTTTTCTTGACTTCTCTATATTAAAACAGTTTCAAATGACATCAATGATTTCTCCACTCTGTTTTATTTCCATATATAGAATATGTTCTCCTGGACAGCAACAAATACAACTTTAAATTTGATTTTTTTTCCTTCATGAACAAAAGCAGACACTACAAAAAGACAACCAGAACTTTGTGCCTAGAAGACATGCTATTTTTAAAGGCAAACCAACAAACTGAGCAGCACTCACATTTGGGTTTTGCTAACTGAAATAAGCATGTCATTTTGAAAGCTTCAGAATGTTTTATTAGGAAAGTGTGATAAGAGTAGCATATTACAAAGTTAGTCTTTAATTTATACTGACATTTAATACTTCATGTAATAAGACTTTCAAGATTCCTTTCCATCCTGTAACGGCCTCTCTTCTTGTCTGATCAAGATCAGAATTTTAAGTGAAAGGCAACCAACATGCAGAGCAGAAAACCCAAGAGGTTTCAAGCTTATTTTCATTCTCTTAGATAAAACCAGAAAGATACTTCATGTAATAAGACTTTCAAGATTCCTTTCCATCCTGTAACGGCCTCTCTTCTTGTCTGATCAAGATCAGAATTTTAAGTGAAAGGCAACCAACATGCAGAGCAGAAAACCCAAGAGGTTTCAAGCTTATTTTCATTCTCTTAGATAAAACCAGAAAGAAACATTTGTTAGAGATTTAACTTGACTTTATCTTACTGAACTAAATACAAGCAAAAAAACCTACAAAATATAAATAGGTTGCCCGAGGAAGGTCTTGCAAGAGAGGCAAGTTGTGAATACCTTTCATGATCCATAATTATTACGGAATTCAACATGACGAAATAGGACTGAAGGGCTTTTTCCTCCATACGTCACGCTGTTTACTGCGGCACAGTATAACCGGATAAACAAATGATTCACAGCCTGTAAGTGCACTTACCTTTTCTCTGAATGAAAATCCTTAGTAGAGGATTGGCCGTGGAAACTGCTTTATGATAATTGTCATCATTATTGATGGGCAGCAGGTCTCCATGAATGTCCGTATATCCCACCAGCACATCAACATTTGGTATCTTGTGCACGTGCTGCAGTAATCCATAGAACTCCTCAAACTTCCCAGGTTTGGATCTCTCCAGAGAAAACCGTCGAAATTCTGCTCCGAACTACAACAAAATATATCTTACATCATTAATATGGAAATCTAACATCCTCAAGCAACAGAACAATTTGAATGTTAAACCATAAATGTTATGGAATTAAAAGTGCACTCAAAACTACAACCAATAATTTTGAAGTAGCATAAAAAGGTCACTTTAAACTGGGTTGGGTTTTTTTCCTAAAGTTAAAACTATTTTTGATCTTGATAAAACATGTATTTTTGAATAAACAAAAGTTGTTTTCATTGTTCCGTTTCGGTCAAAGCATTCACTAATAAGGTTACTTAGCATTAAGGTGACAAACTAGTGCAAGAATAACTGCTGATTTTCACATGCTCATGAAACAGCCATGCTCTTGGTAAGGGACAGAATTCATACCCAGCACTGATGCTGGTGGCTCAAAAACAAGATTATGATTAACCTCCTATGGTATGTGACTACCTGGAACTCTTTCAAAGAAATTTCAGTGCACTTTAGAATGGTATGTGTAGTTTGTTACTCAGCTATGGTTAACCTATGCAAGACTGAGTAGTTTTCAGATTCCCAGTTGTTGGGACAAGAAATTAAAAAGCCACTTTGACCAGTAAACTACAAAGAATGGCTGCTGCTTTTCAGTACAGACTATGTGCAGTAAAGCTTTAGCAATCTGATCTCAAGTTCTGCTGTTACCTAAAGAGAGATATAAAGGAGGCAACCAGCCACTACTCCTATAGAGCATTCAGAAGATCTGCCTGCATGGTCCACACTCAGATCTTGATTGTATAGTCTTTTAAAATGTGGTTGTATCCAGGGTATAAACCAGAGAAGATTCAGAAGACATGCAAAAACCATTTAATCACTGGCACTGTACTTTCAGGTGTAGGATTTGCTTTTAGTCAGTATGATCATTCAACAAAAAACCCCAGCTCCCTAGTCTACTAAAGTTTCAGTCTCCTAAATCATCTATGTAACAAACAGTTATTAAAAAACGCTAGCCATGATTCAGTGGTGGTGGGGATAAGACTAAACTGTGTGTAAATAAAAGAGTAAGCATTTGATGTAGACTATACAAATTGTAATTTTAGCAAGCATAGCTGGTAAAATTATAGTGTTCTGCCCAACACAGGCAGGACTCAAAGCAAACAGAATATTGGATAAAAATTACTCCAAAACCTCCATACTAGGCACATACAATATATAGGAGATGCTAAGAGGAATTAAGAGATAGCAGCAGTCAGGTTACTAAAAGCAACCCGTTACTAGAAGCTCGTATACGAATTAAAAGGATAATAAGCTAATGATTAACAAATAGAAAACAAACAGAAAAGTCAGTTGGTAGCTTTTTTTTGTGAAATGTATAGCTGACCTACAATGAACACAAAGACTTTAGATAATTTCTTTAGCAAGCTTAGTTTTAAGCAAAACAGAAGGGCACACGGAACAAAATACTTGCTGAGTGAAAGTTTGAGCCTCAGTATCATGTACTTGGGTGTAGTTTACACAGAGTAGATGTGAAGGTGCACATTACCAAGCCTCTAGACCAACCTTTACCTCACATTTGATTACAACCTTTTGGAGAATAAAAGCTTTAGAGTTCACACACACCAACAAAGGAATGAAAATGAGGAGACAAGGACCCCGTTGTTAGCACGTTAACACCATGCTAACTCCAGCACAGCCCAGCAAAACAAGCTACACCTTCCAACACGCCCACCTTCCTCCAAAAGTTTCAAATAAAGGAATTATCTGGGAACATTCCTCTTCTAGAAATCCTCCAATTATAGTAACGTTAGCTAACAATAAGGCGAGAAGGGATGATTCATACTTGCTCACAAGCAAAGAAAAGCATGCCGGAGGAACTCCCATCACGTCAGAAGCAGCACGCTTAATCCTGACGTCAGTGAAAGACTTTATCCTGTGTCTCTCAAATCTTTCTTCAGCTATGTGAAGTATGAGTGCCACAGGAATTGTCCATGCATTGCATCAATTTCAATCGTTTGGCTTCGAGAGACTACGTAATTGACATATAATTCAGTAATAAAGTTGAAAAAGCCAATAACCTCACTCTCAATTTGCAGTAAAAGTTAAATCCTATTGCAGCAAGCACACAAAGGGCCAGATTTTCAAACGTGTGATTTTGTATTTTTTTTTTTTCCCAACATGATTTTATACTTATTTGGTGCAAACACCAAGGGATTAATAATCTGGTTATTACTTCCTAACACAGTTTGCCATGTGCTCAATACTATAATAAATCAAGTTAAAAAGACAAAAGCAAAACTATGCAATTTCATAGTTTATTTTAACCCCCTGAAATGTTTTTGCTTTATATCAAATATTGCACTTCAACTAAATAGACTGCACTTACAACTTGTAAGAAATTTAGAGGAGATGAAAGATTGGAAGAGACTAACTTAAGAAGAGAAGGCTTCTTGCCACCTGAGCTCTTTCCAAATGCCTGCTGTTACACTGGTAACTCCTCTGGGAAAACACAGCACAAGCGATGTCAGTGTACTAGGAAGTTACTATAGATACTCGCTTGAGTAAGACCTACTCACGAGAGACATCTTTAAGCCCTCTGTAACACAGCACGCTGCTGGTCTAAGTCTGCAGCAACAACAGAGCGTTAACTACAGTAACAATATCTGCCTTATCAGTATATTAGATTTCGTGCTGATGAAAAAAAATATCCAAGTCATAAGAAAGAGGGGAGAAAACCTGAATTTTATATCTAGAGAACTAGAAGTTTATTTTGGGACTTTCATACCGACCAGGCACTCCAGTTTGGGGTCTAAAACTTGATTTTCTCTGATAAGAGAAAGGCCTAACTGGAATTAATATGCTATGGGAGTTCTCCAGGGCAAGTTCAGACCAGTTACCCAAATCGAATAAACTAGATTAACAAACGGATTTTGCTCATATAACTGCAACTACAGTCGGGCTGTGCGGGCACGGCTTTGTCAGTTGGGGCGCAATTATTGATTCGGAGTATCTAAATAAAGAGCTGTACGTCACTGATAAGTCTTCAAAGCCTAGACCATTCCATACTAATGGTCCCTCCACCTCCCACACAAGCCTTTCTTCTTTCTCTTTAGAATTGATTACTTTCATAAAAGGAAGATGACTCCTATGCTATATTAAAACAAGGTGCTGTTAAATAATGCATTAGCGAAAAGTAGTTCTAGGAATGCCTTGAAACCTGCTTCATAACATGCACTTAAGAGACAGTCCCTACTCATTAGAACTTCTACGCTTCTCTGTACAAACACCAAAGAGCACATCAAACAGGGGATCCCTAGATGTATTTTAAACCACGGAAAACACACAATGAGGGAACAGCAAGCCTAGATTTTTGGGCTGAGAGAACAAGTACTTGTTTATAAACACATTGTACTGATTGTTTTCCATCTACAAGAGCATAGATGAAAAACAGGCTTAACTAACCACAGTAACAACTATGCTTGACTAGTATTTAAAATTATGGCTACCAGCTATTCCTGTGCTTTCTGGTTTTGTCCACGTGAAAGTAAACACTTTAAAGAAATCATCATCATTCAAGCTACAGAGGCCAACCACTCATTTTCTAGAAGTTTCAGCCCTATGTTATCTTTAAAAAAACCACAAAGGTTCTAACCGCTTCACCTATACTGCTGCTGTAATATTGATCAGCAGGAAAGGAAGGAACAGAATATAAATAGTAGACCAGTTTTTTAAAAGCCCTATATTTCTTTAAAAAGAAATATTTTTTTTATCAATGGAAGAAAACACATTCCCACATAGGTGCGCTTGCAATTTGCCTCAACAATGAAAAGGGGATTTTTAACGCAGGTTACACACTTCTATTTAACTAATACTGCACATCCAACACTATAAACCAGAACAAAAATCTAATTTCTTTCAGAACATCAGAGTTTTGTCAGAGAAATTGTCTAATCAGTACATAAAAAATTAACAACAGGAAGACCAGATGCAGATACACCCCTGGAAGAATTTAGAGAATTGTCCAAAGCTTTGGCAACAAGAAACTGTTAGTGTAAGCCATAACATACAGGAACACGCTCATAAAACAATTACCAGCGTAAAATCCTCAGATAACCTCTAAAAGATGGCAAGGTCTACTTTAAGTTAGCCAGGGCTTACCTCTGCCAAGTAATGCAATCTGTACTCTACCCCACCAAAAAAAAGTACAGAAACACATAGCCATTAAGTGAAACAAGCAAAAAAAAAAAGTATAGAAACAGTAACCAAGTTAAACAAACGTACTCTTTTTCCAATTCAGACGGGGAATAGGTTTCAGAGTTTGAATCATCTCCAAGGAGATACCTTAGATGTTCCCAACTTTCCCCAAACATCTAACATCTACTTCTCTGTACGTAGGCACAAACTCAGAGGGCAACTCCACTAACCTGCTTTTGTAAAACACTCCAAAAAATACTTTACCCTCCCTGCAGGCAGCGCACCCGGGCAGCGCCACCACCACCACCACCTAACCCCCACTGCCATGGCCCCAGCCGACCAGAAGGAGCTGCCCGGGGCAGGGACAGCCAGGTGGGGCAGGGAGTCGCACCCCGCCGCCGCCGGGGGACCACCGCAGCCCGGTGACCTGAGGGGCGCGCAAAGCCACACCGGGGCCGCGAACCGACGGACACCGGCCCTTCGCCCCCGCTGCCACTCCCGGCAGGTGAGTCAGCGCCTCTCCCTGCCCCACGTCCCCTCATGGACACCGTCCCCGGCCCC